CAGGATACCCAAGATCCTAATGTACAGCCAGTTAGATCAGGGCTACAGGAATGTTGGACGCCCATGGCTAAGATACAAAGACAAGCAGAAAAGCAACTTATCAGCAGTCAATATACCACATAACACCCTTGGGCGCCTAGCCTTGGAGTGGCTAGAATGGAGATCAACGCGTTTTAGTGGACTCAGCAGTTTTCAATCTGCTTGTCTGAATCATCTTCAAAAGCGAGAGCAAGATCTAAAAAGTCAGCCAAACTAACAGCTTTCTCATCGCACAATCCTCACTCTTGTTCCGTATGTCGCACAAAATTTCATAATTGAATCAATTAAGCTATCAGATCCTCATGTGTTGAAACCGACGGGAGAGTCCATTATATATATATATATATATATATATATATATATATATATGTGTGTGTGTGTGTGTGTGTGTGTGTGTGTATAAAAGTCAAACAGTCAGAGAGACCGTTAAAGTGCAGCAAATTTGTACTTACCCAGCAGGAGACCACTTTTCTTTTATTGTTTTCTTCATTGTGAAGGCTGGTAGCCGTAATAAAGACCATTTAAAGCAAACAGAGGTGGAAGCTATTTGAAATGCAGCTAACCAGTAAAAATAATGTTTGAAATAATATATATTATATTTAAATGAAATTAACATATTAATAATTTATTTAAATTTTTCGTGGCTGAATTAGCGATTTCATAGAAAATATATGACCCCAACCTCTGTCAGAAATCGAACACGGAACCGTCACGTAGCCTGGCGTGCTATACAATTTAGCTACAGAGGAAGCGATGGGTGAGTAATGTCGAATCACTGCTTTTAAACTACAAATTACCGATGATTACTCTCGACCACTCATGTCTGCTCGAAGCGTATCTCAACGTAAAAAAATGGCATCATATATTATGACAATTATTTTAACATAATTTTTGTTTATACGTTATTTTGTAGATACAAATATCTAAGTAAAAGGTCTGTTTATGATAAACAGTATTAAGCACATTTACCGTCAAATGTTTCTATGTAGATTGAAACAAAATTCTTTCAAAAATTTTGAAACTACCGGAAGTCTTTCGATTCGTGCGCATGTGTAGACGTAGCAACGCCAACAATGCCTGCAACAAAAATTTTTCCAGTATGTCCTTTTTCTAAATATTAAAATATATATATGTATGTATATGTGTGTGTGTGTGTGTGTGTGTGTGTGTGTGTGTGTGTGTGTGTGTGTGTGTGTGTGTGTGTGTGTGTGTGTGTGTGTGAAAAGTGTATATATATATATATATATATATATATATATATATATATATATATATATATATATAAAGAAAAATAGCAAGTAAGACTAGAGTCAGACCAATGCTGTATATATCCATGTATATATATATAGTCAAAATATCGTTTTGTTTACAGAAGAATGTTGAGTATCGGACATATATATATATATATATATATATATATATATATATATATATATATATATATATATATATATATATATATATATATATATATATATATATATATATATTAAGACATTTTTATGTTTAAACGTTCTTTTTATAAATACAAATATTTAAGTAAATGCTCTGTTTATAATAAACAAAATTAACGACATTTACCGGGCCGAATGTCCGAGAAATTTTCATAGAAAATATGCGTCCTCCGACAGGTATCGAACCTGTATCCTATACAGAAACGTCTTAAAGCTTAACGTGTTTTAACGATGG